GCGCTTTAATTTCACATAATATTTAAGGAAAAAAAAATGACAAAAACCACATAGAATTAGACATATAATTCAAAGACCACGGTACAACCTTTTCTTTTTTTTTTTCTTTTACTTCAGCAAACAAAAAATAGGCAAATGACATGAAAAGTGGCAAGTCTTCCGATAATAAATAATAAATTATTTTATAATTTTGCAATGCAAGAGCAAACAAAAAAGATGGTTTTTTGCTTTTTGCTTTGCTTTTTTCTTTTTGTTTTTTCTTTTTCTTTTTGCTTTTTTTTCCTTTTTTTTTTTACGAGAGAGGGAGAGAGAGAACGAGAGAGAGAGAAAGAGAGAGAAAGAGAAAGAGAGAGAAAGAGAAAGAGAGAGAGAGAAACAGTCGGTTCAACCAATGACTATACACGTCTTTGGGGGAGGGGAAGGTTCTTGGACGGACACATTTCAAACACAATCCCGATACGCTTTGTGGCAAAATAGAGGTATACCTTGTTGCAATGCTTTTATAAATTGTTTTTTAAAGAGGAATTCAAAAAACTGGTTTTAATCGCTTCAGACTTGATAGAGGGTGGATCTCAACCAAACAAAACCAAAACCTCGCTACAGTACATGCTAGAAGAGACCCAAGAAACAACCCCTTATTAAGAGTCAACTGAAAACCACATTGCAAACCAATGCAGCTCCACCTTCCTGCAATGAAGCTTTCAACAATGCAGGGCTAAATCGTCTCTTTCCTGATGATGGAAAACCTACTGGAGCTTCTTTTGGCAAGGCAATCACCAATATAGAAACAGCACCATTAGGATTGGGAGAGACTAGATAGGAAGTCCCTCTACCTTGTTTTCTCCCTAAGATGTGCAGTCAAATGGATTTTTTTTTTTTCTTTAAGATCCATGAGTACAAATCCTTTACATTTTGAAAACGTCCTTTTGATCCTCCTCTGACCATTGAATAGCACGGGGTTTTTTTTGTTGTGTGGTTGGGGTTTTTTAGTATTTATTCTAGTAAGATCCCATGATTGTCTTCACAGTGTTGCTACCATATTACCTTGTCTTTTCAAACATTACTCCGTTCATTTCATGGAGTAGTTTCTTGCTAGGTTCCTTACAGGGTGTTTAAATACTTTTTCCCCCTAAATTTCGGAGTCACACTGCGATCACTTTCCCACTCTCTCCAACAGGGTGACGGTAAGGGCAGAAACAACAACAACAGAAATCTGAATAAGTGTTCCTCATGCCTCAATAGGACTGGCTACCATGCTGTTTGGTGTATCTGGCAGCTGAGAGGACATTGATGCTACTTCACTTCCAGTAGAATTGGAACCGGGTCCTCCTTCTGAAAAATTAACCTGCCAAAAAAAAAAAAAGAAGAAAAGAAGAAAAAAAGAAAAAAAAAGAAGAAAAAGAAAAATAAGAAAAAGAAGTGTTGTTACAACTGTAACAATCAAATAAAAGTAGCAGGTAAAGGCAAAGAAGAACATAAAAATTAATACACAGGCATGCAGCCAAATGGCATGATACATCTCCATAGGAGACTGTGTCACTGTTGGTTGCTTTGTTTAGCTTCCTTATTGACTTCATGGGAATCTTCTCCAGGCCTTCAGCCAAATCACCGAAAAAAAGCAGGTTAAAAAAAAAGCAAAATAAAACAAAATTTTTTTAAAAAAAGATTGAAAAACCAAGCAAATAAGTAAACAAACTTATTAATGAGGCCTTCTTCCCTGTCTTGCAAGATTGGCAATCCCAACAGGATGTTCTAGTCAATTATTTAAGACTGCATGTGTTTTTTGACACGAAACTGCAAGGTTATATTTTTCCCCCCTTTTGTGCACATACTAAAATAAACCTGGAAGGAGCATCCAGGAGCAGAAGACATTTGAAACAAGCCATTCTCTTTCATTTGTGATTTGAAGCGGGTGCTATCTGTTTCTAACAAGAGTCAGTTTGATAAAAAAGGTCACACTTCTCCATCGTAATGTGCCCCAGCAGCTCCCGTTAGTTTAGGAGCATTGCTGGGAAAAGGCACGATTTGAAGGGTGGAGCTTTGCTTATCCAAAAGCATTTCTTTGGCACCTATTTAGCTGACCGATCCTATGATTAAGGCCCTATCCAGACTAGAGACGTGCCTTGAACAGTCGATCACTGTCTGTTTCGTCCACAACTCTTTATTTAAATTCTTTTCGGTATCAGACATTATGTCCTATATATATCAATATTCCTCTGTCTATCTAATAATCTACCTAATTATAAGCATGTGTTTATTTGAGCTATCTGTTTTCCTTCCATTCTGCGGAGGGATTTGGTTTGGTTTTTTTGGTGGTTTTTTTTTGTGGGGGCGGCGTGGTAGTTTTGGGTTTGTGGGTTGTTTGGGTTTTTTGGGGGGTTTAGACCTAGTCTATACAAAAAATCACTACTGAAAGGGTTTTTAAAGTCTCCTGTACTGTTAAGGCACAATAAGTAAGCAACCGAAGGAGACCAATTTTTCTTGAATCTGCTTGATAGCTTGATTAAAGCAGGAAAACCAGTGCTTGTTCTAGAGGTAAGATGATGCAAATAGCCCTGCTGCAGTGCTACAGCTTCCCAGGCAAGCATGGTGTGCCAAGGGAGAGAAGCACGCTGCAGTCTGTCACTGGGCAAAAGAAAAGTGATGCTGTAAGAGAGCACGATACTAAACTGAACATATCTGAAAACAATTCTGGAAGCGGCTACAAACCTTTATCTCCCATCACTTCACGTAAAAGATAATGCCCAACAGATAAAAAAAAAAAGCTCTATATGTTAATTTTTCATCATTATGTATTATTTTGAACCACTGAAAAACTATACACAACATACCTTATCATTTTAAAGATCTGGTTTTAACACACTTAGGCCAGGAAATTGAGTTAAGGATGAACTTCTGTCCTTAATTCACCTTGTTGGGCCTAAGTATTGTAGAGGATATGGTCCCATATGAGCTGCCAAATGACGTAGGCATAAGGAAGTGAGTTAAGAACAGAATTTATTCTAAAAGGACTGTTTTCTTTCTACATAAGGCAGCTTATTATATTGTTTGAATTTTTCACATAAATACTTACTAACATTTCCCTTTCCAAAGCACTATTAAGGTGTGTGTATATAAATATGTATACATTTGTGTGTATATATGTATATATAGGTATATAAAGTCGTTATCTAGATGAACATGTTTAAAATAAGAAATTAAAAAATTTAGTTAAGCTATTCCTGTTTGTGTGTGTGGGAAAAAAAAATCAAAAAAGCACAGGCTGACATTGCAATCATATAGTTAATATCCACCATACCTTGTAAAAGCAAAACTGGCCAGGAACAGGGAGGGGTGAAATTCTGAAACTGATTTCTCAAATATATATACAATTAAACTACATGTGAAGAATGTTTAAGTTCTCTGGATAAAGGTGTTTTCATTTTTTAAGAGTGTGAGCTGAGTTAGTCTCAGACGTGTTGGGCCTTATCCATCTCCTGCTCAACTCGGCAAGAGCTTTGCTGTGCACTGAAGTAAATTTTTCACCAAGCCATATTTACACAGTGCCGTCATGCCCACCTTGCAATTTCATAAAAACACGGCTAATCTGGATTGCTCATCTCTCCGAGGGCATCTGACACGTTTAGAGAATCCCCCATTGCTCTGCCCCGGGCACCAGCTAGCCTCTCCGTCTGGGAACCGACACTTACTAGTTGCTGAAAAGCAGGTTGGTCTATGTCACTCTGCAATGCGAAGTCACTCAGTACTTTCCAGGGCGGCTGGTAACTTTGCACCTCCACTGGGTTCGCCTGTAAACCTCCGTCATGCCTCTCCGGACTAGCAGCCACCATTGGAGTTCCTGTCATCCCTTGGATATTCTGTAAACAGCACAGCAAAAGATGTTAATGAGCTTGGTTAACTTTATTGTATATAAGCGCTGAGTCAATAAACTGCTTTCTATCTTATCTGTACAGTCGCTTGTATTTGCTTTGTTAATCTGCTGTGAATGTCTACTCTAGGTCAGCGTATTTCTACCCGCTGCATTTATCACAGTGGAAGTTTACTTTCTTTTCCTTTAATCCTCCTATTTCTCTCAAGACATATCCCTTCCGCACCAAGCTCTCTTAAACACGAGCACTCCGTGTCTTGGCTGCCGATCGATGCACAGCTCGGCACAAGAAACGGTTAATTATGCTGCCTTTCCACTTCGCATCCAGATCCAGGCTGGTTTTGTTCTGCGTGATCTTAACTGGGTCGTATAACCACTGCACGGCAAACCTGGGGTGCGTCAGTACCACTCAATTTCAAAGAAAAAAAAAAAAGGAGAGAGCAAACATCAGCTTTCCTAGTATGCCTTGGGGTGCAAGCACTATGTGCAAAATAACTCCGAGCCTAGACGAATAGATTGTTCAGGCCAGTTAATAACATCATGTTTTATTGCATTCCAACAGGGTAAAATGAAACTCCTTAAATTCTACTTAACTAGGCAGCCTTATGGATTAATAGTCATTCTCAGGCCAGTCAATATACACAGGGAGAATAACAGACTCTTCTTCAAGTGGACTAACAACGGGGGGAGAAAAAAAAAAAAGTTGGCTTAAAATGGAGAAAGACAGTTTGTTTTCAGCGCTGTTTGCCTTTTTTTTTATTTGCATCATACGTGTAGAAAACGCCTGTAGAAAACGACTGAATTTATTTCTGCGCGATAATTATATTTTAAATAGCCTATAAACATGATGGCAATTCAATAAACTTTGCATTGTATTTGTCTTTTTCTACCGTAACTGCACAGGCAAGCACGCACATACACACATGGTAATATAAAAAGTGCTAAGAAAATACACCAAATTTCCCTTTTACTACTGGAATTTACTTATGAGTTTACTTCTGTGTAAAAGCATTGAAGAGGGCAAAAGCGTCATTTTCCTCCCAAGGAGTCCCTCACATTTGGAATACAAGTATTACACTAGGCTGGGCTTATTACATCCCATAATCTCTGCAGGTCGCAATTCACGCTGCAGAGAAGTTAGTCTAATCACTGCGTATCCTTAGCCCCACAAACAGACGTTTTAGCTTAAGCAGCCTCTATTGGCTTCTCTGTGTGGTCTGTTCTAATTGCACTGACAGCAGAAACAAACGGGTAATAGTTAAACGGTATCGTTTTCTTTGTTTTAAGGGAGCTCAACAAATTCAAAAGCGTCAAACCAACCCTAGAGGCTGGCCGAGCTGGACATAGTGCAACCTTTTCGCCTTGGGAGGCAAAGCAGCGCACAGTCAGAGACGGAAGCCACTTACAGTTTTGTCATTCGGTTGCTGCTGCTGGAGTTGCTTCATCATAATGCTCCTTTTTTTGTCCTTGCACCGCTTGTTTTGAAACCAAACCCTGATGACCCTCGGGCTGAGGCCAGTCATTTCTACCAGTTGCTCTTTCATGAGGGCGTCAGGTCTGGGATTGGCAGCGTAGCAGGTCCTCAAGGTGTGAAGCTGTTTTTCATTAAGGACAGTCCGGACTCGGGTGGTCTTCTCGGGCTGCTTGTGGACGTGGGGTCGTAGAGCTGGCTGTCTGGCAGAGATAGGTTCTGCTGTAAGGGAAGGGGAGAGGAAGTACAGGATCCACATGAGTAGGAAGCAGGGAGTCTGCGGAGGCTACGAATCTAAGCTGGTGGGACAGGAGGAGGCAGGGAGCAGGGGGGCGGGGGGAGGATGAAGCCGCTCTCAAAGGCCGTTCGAGTAGTCAGATATATCGGAGCTCCTTGCAGCCTCCTCTGTTTCATGCGCTGGTGGAGTGACAGGACTGACATTTCTGACTCCACAGATAATTAATTTGCAAAAACAATCCACCCCCCTAAAACCCTTAATGACAGAAGCTTGAACCTGTGTGAGACTTGACAGGGGAGGGCGAGTTCGCTGAGGTGTGCGTGAGCTAGGAAAGTAGAAAAGGAGGGGTTTACGTATTTGTTTCCTGACAGATTACCAACACAGATTTTTCGCCCCCAAATTAATGAAAGTATACTTCTTAAATTAATCATAATTCATGTCTGCTTCTTATACACTGAATCTAGCTCAGTTTAGCCAGAGGCCGCGATAACAAACAGCTCCCGGCAGTTTGATGCTTACAAATCAAAGCAAAACAAGACAAATCCTCTGCACCCTGACCGTGGAGCAAAATGCTGTGAGAACCCCGTATCCCAGAGCTCAGAAGACAGGGGTCTGTCTTAGAAAGCGGAGGGGCTAGGAGAATTTATGTCGGCTTCTGATTAATACTTTAAAAATATGACTGTTTTGCCAATTCCATAAAAGGGAAACAAGCTTAGCAGGTTGTGAAAACCGCCAAGAAGTACAAACCTAGCAGTACCATCACATCAAGAGCTAGAAGTACTCTTGTGATTCCGGTATTCTTCTTTCTACTGTATAGCTGTAGCTATCTATATGTAATTTGACTCAATCAAGGGATTTATTATTACTGTTATTATTGCTAAAACTCTGGTTGGGTAATATTCAGAAATGCTTGCTTTTGTGCCATTAGGTTCCGAATTTTCTGATTACAACAGTAAATCGGCAAATTCAATGAAGACTGTAAGAAGTCTTTAAATTTGCCTTTCATAGACATGCACAAACATGCTACAAGGAGTATTCACAATTTGTCTAAAATTCTGCTTGATCATCTATGGGATAATTTCTGTCTATATGTAGATATGTCACCAGAAAGCAGCTCAGAAGCGGGAAACGAGCCCGTTTAAACGCAGCTGTGTTTGTAACCAATCTTTTGAGTTACAGTTAGTTGCACAGTAATAACAGCCAACCTTGTAATGTCCAGACTACTTTGCCTCGGGGACGTGCCTCTGCCTAAAGCTAAGCGTCTCTGAGTATCTGATGTACCCGTCGGGAAATAAACGTGTATGTAAACTTGTACGACGGGGGGGAATCTAAAGTTACAAAGCTAATTCTTAAGATGAAATTCTTATCAAATCACATTAAAAAAAATCAAGAAGGCAGACTCACTTTAGAAGGCAATTACCGAAGATTAGCTTGTTGACAGTTTTAAATTACAGCCTAAGTGCTCGTCTGTAGTTATGAAGTCTATCTCTTTTCGGACGCGGCTTCCAACCAGTGCTTAAAACCAGCTTTTCCTCACACTCCCGAGACAGGGCGGGGGGTGGGGGTAGTGTCTGTGCTTTGCGGCAGACTTGCTCCTTGCCGCGGCTCGTCTCCCTCCGACTTAGGCTCCCTCCTGTCCCGGGCTCGGGGTGGGGATGGGGGACGGACGACTCCCGCACCCGGTGCGCGGCGGGAGTGGGAGGGGGGCAGGCCGACAGGGGTGCAGCCCCCTGCGCAGGTGTCTCCGCCTCACGCGTACCGCGTACG